ACGCGGTCCTTGTTCAGCTCCACCTCGAACACCACGTCGGAGCCGGGGGGCTGGAACGTGTCCTGGGGGGGTCTGATGATCTCCACCGGGGTCTCTGTCGGGGAAAAACAGGGTGAGGACTGGGGGAAAAGAGACTCTCAGAGACCAACAGATCCAGGTTTACTCTGGTCTTACCCTCCACAAAGAGCCGGGCCCGGGTCCTCCTCTCGTCTAATCCACAGGCGTACTCACACTCATCGTCCGGCCGGCACACCTTGATGACCAGTCGGCACGTCTTCCCCTCACGCTCCATGTGGTACCTGAACACACAGGAATATAAATCATACATTTTATTTAATTATTTCCCCCCACTCTGACACTCTACTATTCATGCATAGTGTAAATAAAAGAGGGCCCAGGATGGAACCCTGTGGTACCCCTTAAGGACTTGATGAAAGCCGTACCTGGGTCCTTCTCTGATCTCTCGTCCGTTCCTGTACCACTTGACGGCGGCCTTTTCCTTGCTCATCTTGCAGGTGAACTCTGCATCCTCAAACTCGGTGACGGTGGTGTCTCGGAGCTGTGCGGTGAAGTCGGTGGGCGCCTCGCTGATGATCAGCTCGGCCACGCACTTGTCGTCTCCGACCACGGCGGTGTACTCGCCCTCGTCGTCCATCACGCAGTCCTTGACAGTGAGCGTGTGCTTCAGGCCGTCGGCGCGGTACACGATGCGTTTGCTGAGTGTCACTTCCTGTCCCGCCTTCAGCCAGCGCACCGTGACCTCGGGCCGGTTCACCTTACAGGTGAAGCCGATCGTCTTCTTCTCCTGAGTCTCAACGTCCTCGATGGGGTCCAGGAACCGCAGCTTCTCCTCTGCAGGGAGGGGGGTCACATGTTAATAAACTGCTGCATAATATCACTACTTCATAATATCATCACAGATCTATTGTAAGTATTTTGAGTCATTTATTACATATTTTTGTATTTTTATTTTGTATTTGTTGTTTATTTAAGGTTCATGTACCCATTTGTTTACTTTTTATTTTAAATATATTTCCTCAAAGCAGATTACTTGTATGTAAAAAACATATCTGTCTAAATTATTATATATTAATACCCTTTTCGACTTTCACTGAGTTATATCTTTGTCAACCCTTTAAATGCAAGTGTTTTTAAGAACTTTGTTTAACCCAGAGCTGTAGATGTGTCTCTGATAGACAGCAGGTGTTGTTCAGGTGTAGTTCAGGTGTAGTTCATGTGTAGTTCAGTTGTAGTTCATGTGTAGTTCAGGTGTAGTTCAGGTGTAGTTCAGGGTTAGTCCAGGTGTAGTCCAGGTGTAGTTCAGGGTTAGTCCAGGTGTAATTCAGGTGTAGTTCAGGGTTAGTTCAGGTGTAGTTCAGGTGTAGTTCAGGTGTAGTTCGGGGTTAGTTGAGGTGTAGTTCAGTTGTAGTTCAGGTGTAGTTCAGGTGTAGTTCAGGGTTAGTTCAGGTGTAGTTCAGGTGTAGTTCGGGGTTAGTTCAGGTGTAGTTCAGGTGTAGTTCAGGTGTAGTTCAGGGTTAGTTCAGGTGTAGTTCAGTTGTAGTTCAGGTGTAGTTCAGGTGTAGTTCAGGGTTAGTTCAGGTNTAGTTCAGGTGTAGTTCAGGTGTAGTTCGGGGTTAGTTGAGGTGTAGTTCAGTTGTAGTTCAGGTGTAGTTCAGGTGTAGTTCAGGTGTAGTTCGGGGTTAGTTGAGGTGTAGTCCAGGTGTAGTTCAGGTGTAGTTCAGGGTAGTTCAGGTGTAGTTCGGGGTTAGTTGAGGTGTAGTCCAGGTGTAGTTCAGGTGTAGTTCAGGGTTAGTCCAGGTGTAGTTCGGGTGTAGTTCAGGTGTAGTTCAGTTTAGTTCAGGGTTAGTTCAGGTGTAGTTCAGGTGTAGTTCAGGTGTAGTTCAGGGTTAGTTCAGGTGTAGTTCAGGTGTAGTTCAGGTGTAGTTCAGGGTTAGTCCAGGTGTGGTTCAGGTGTAGTTCAGGGTTAGTTCAGGTGTAGTTCAGGTGTAGTTCAGGGTTAGTTCAGGTGTAGTTCAGGGTTAGTCCAGGTGTAGTTCAGGGTTAGTCCAGGTGTAGTTCAGGTGTAGTTCAGGTGTAGTTCAGGTGTAGTTCGGGGTTAGTTGAGGTGTAGTTCAGTTGTAGTTCAGGTGTAGTTCAGATGTAGTTCAGGGTTAGTTCAGGTGTAGTTCAGGTGTAGTTCGGGGGTTAGTTCAGGTGTAGTTCAGGTGTAGTTCAGGGTTAGTTCAGGTGTAGTTCAGGTGTAGTTCAGGTGTAGTTTGGGGGCTTAGTTGAGGTGTAGTTCAGTTGTAGTTCAGGTGTAGTTCAGGTGTAGTTCGGGGTTAGTTCAGGTGTAGTTCAGGGTTAGTTCAGGTGTAGTTCAGGTGTAGTTCAGGTGTAGTTCAGGTGTAGTTCGGGGTTAGTTGAGGTGTAGTTCAGTTGTAGTTCAGGTGTAGTTCAGGTGTAGTTCAGGCGCGTTTACCTGCCACGGCGGCGCGGGCGCTGCACTTGGCCTGTTCTGCTCTCTGATTGGTCAGGCTGATGGTGTACACTGCCTCGTCGTTCTTGCTGGCCTCGCGGATCCTCAGCGAGAACACGTTGTCTCTCTGAGCCATCATGTACTTGCTGCTCTCGAATATGGTCTCCTCGTTCTTCAGCCACTTGGCCTTCGCTCCCTCTGTGTTCGTCTCGCAGTTGAACACGATCTCTCCTCCCTCCTTCACCTCTGTGTCCTTGATGGGCGTGATCACCCTCAGTTTCTCTGAAAGAGAGCGAACATTACACTCTGAACCCATGAAGGCAACACAGAGCCCTCTAATAAACAACAACACAGTAAACAATAACACGGAGCAGTTTAATAAACAACAACACAGAGCAACAGGACGTGGTGCTCCTTAATAACAACAACGAGGTGCTCTTTGATGAACTCACCGATGACGGTCAGCTCCGCGGACGCCTTCACGCCCCCGATGTGGGCCACGTACCCTCCCTCGTCCTTCACCTCGCAGCTCTTAACAATGAGAGCGCGTCTCTTTCCCTCGCTCACAATGGAGAACTTCTCTCCTTCCTGCACCTCCTTCTCTCCTCGGAACCATGTCACCTCGTACGAGTCTTTAGAAACAGAGCAGCTGAACTCCGCCTTCTCTCCTTCTACCACCTCCTGGTTCTGAGGACGGGCGATGAACTCTGCTGCCAACTCTGAGAGGAGGAGGAGGAGGAGGAGGAGGAAGAGGAGGAGGAGCAGGAGGAGGAGGAGGAGGAGGAGGAGGAGGAAGAAGAGGAGGAAGAAGAAGAGGAGGATGATTATATACATTGTCGTATAGTGTCTATAAGCTTGCAAAGCATCAGCAGCTTTATCTCCCAAAGAAACCGTTTTTTAAGCTTTGAAATGAACTGTTAAGTTTTAACAAACTAACTATTTAGGTCGATTAAAAAGTAGATGGCTAACGTTAGCTAACCAGCTTGTGAGTTTGCTAGTTAGCTTATTAGAGAGATAGGTAATGTTAGCATACAGTTCTATTTTTCCAAATGTCAGCCATGTGGACCTCATCCCCCACCCAGTGAGCCATGTGGACCTCGTCCCCCCCCCTCCCAGTGAGCCATGTGGACCTCGTCCCCCACCCAGTGAGCGATGTGGACCTCATCCCCCCCCCAGTGAGCCATGTGGACCTTGTCCCCCTGCCAGTGAGAGTTAACCCTGAGCTCCAGTGTGAGGTCCTGACTCAGGGTATTGATGAATAATAACTATATCTACTGATATTTATATTTATATATATACCGCTGAGTGACAGCTTGGCGGAGGTGGTGACGGTGGCGCTCAGACTGCAGCTGTACTCCCCGCCGTCCTCCATCCTCAAGTCCTGGATGATGAGGATCCTCTTCTTCCCGTCCACGATGTGCTCGTAGCGGCCGCCCTCCGGCAGCTCCTCGTCTCCTCTGAACCAGCGCACCTCGGCCGAGGGTTTGGACACCTCGCAGATCATCTTCACGCTGTCCGTCTCCGTGCCTTCCACGTTGGACAGGTTCTTCGTGAAGCGCGCCGCCTCCTCTGTGGACACGAGACGGAAGGGGTTCATTATTGTATATTTACCTCTTATAGTCTGTGAATGTGTACAGCTGCTTTTATATACTCTGTCTGCTTCTATTGCTGCAGGGAGAGACGCCAAATACATGTGTTATACCAACGTATGAGGACAATAGAGAGAACATGCTCTGTTTATATGTATCCAGGTATATTTGTATAAATGTGTATACATACCGATGACGGTGAGCATGCCGCAGCTCTTGGCCGTGCGGGCGTCACACTCGTACTCCGCCTCGTCGTCAAAGGCTGATTTGTGAACGATGAGGATCCGACTCACTCCTTTAGACACGATCTCGTACTTCTTCCCCTTCCTGATCTCACTGCCGTCCTTAAACCAGCGCACCTGCAGCAGGAACACATCATCAGTATATTATAAATATATAATATACACATTAATATGTAGAGTGGTTGTTAAGAGGTTCTCACCTTCGCAGACTCGCGGGACACTTCACACTCGAACCTGGCCGACTCCTTCTCCTTCACCTCAACGTCCTGCAAGGGCTTCACGAACTCCACGTGAGGAGCTGAGGGAGAGACCTCGTTAATCCATTACATCTAACACATCTAACATATCTAACACATCTAACACATCCAACACATCCAACACATCCAACACATCCAACACATCCAACACATCCAACACATCCAACACATCTAACACATCCAACACATCTAACACATCTAACACATCCAACACATCCATTACATCCAACACATCCAACGCATCCAACACATCCAACACATCCAACGCATCCAACACATCTAACACATCCAACACATCTAACACATCCAACACATCTAACACATCCAACACATCTAACACATCCAACACATCCAACACATCTAACACATCCAACACATCCAACGCATCCAACACATCTAACACATCTAACACATCCAACACATCCAACACATCTAACACATCCAACACATCTAACACATCTAACACATCCATTACACCCAACACATCCAACGCATCCAACACATCCAACACATCCAACACATCCAACACATCTAACACATCCAACACATCCAACACATCTAACACATCCAACACATCCAACACATCCAACACATCCAACACATCCAACACATCCAACACATCCAACACATCCAACACATCCAACACATCTAACACATCTAACACATCCAACACATCCAACACATCTAACACATCTAACACATCCAACACATCTAACACATCCAACACATCCAACACATCCAACACATCTAACACATCTAACACATCCAACACATCCAACACATCCAACACATCCAACACATCCAACACATCTAACACATCTAACACATCCAACACATATAAACACATCCAACACATCTAACACATCTAACACATCTAACACATCTAACACATCCAACACATCTAACACATCTAACACATCTAACATATCTAACATATCTAACATATCTAACACATCTAACACATCTAACACATCCAACACATCTAACACATCTAACACATCTAACACATCCAACACATCTAACACATCCAACACATCCAACACATCTAACACATCCAACACATCCAACACATCCAACACATCTAACACATCTAACACATCCAACACATCCAACACATCTCACATCCAACACATCCAACACATCCAACACATCTAACACATCCAACACATCCAACACATCTAACACATCCAACACATCCAACACATCCAACACATCTAACACATCTAACACATCCAACACATCCAACACATCTAACACATCCAACACATCTAACACATCCAACACATCTAACACATCCAACACATCCAACACATCCAACACATCCAACACATCCAACACATCCAACACATCCAACACATCCAACACATCCAACACATCTAACACATCTAACACATCCAACACATCCAACACATCCAACACATCTAACACATCCAACACATCCAACACCTCTAACACATCTAACTCATCCAACACATCCAACTCATCCAACACATCTAACACATCCAACACATCCAACACATCCAACACATCTAACACATCTAACACATCCAACACATCCAACACATCTAACACATCCAACACATCCAACACATCCAACACATATAACACATCTACACATCTTACTTTATAAAGTAATAAATAAAGGGATTACTATATATATATATCACTTTTTAAAGTGAACTTCAATTTAAAAAGTGATATATAAGGAAGCAGCAGGTCCTGATATATAACTTTAAAAAGTAATATATAAAGTGATAAATAAAGTAATTAATATAGTAATAAATAAAGTGATAAATAAAGTAATAAATAAAGTGATAAATAAAGTAATGAATATAGTAATAAATAAAGTAATATATGTATATTATGTGGTCCTTACGCATGACCTCCAGGAAGCAGGAGGTCTTGAAGTCCCCGGCGTCGCAGGTGTACATCTTGGCGTCGTCGGGGGTGCAATCGAGGACGACGAGCGCCCTCTTCCGTCCCTCGCTGATGACATCATACTTCTTGGTCTTCCTGACTTCCTGTCCCTCTCTGAACCAGCGCACCTCGGCTTCTTCCCGAGAAACTTCACACTCCAGCCGGGCCGCCGCCTCCTCCTCCACTGATTGGTCCTCCAGCGGCCGAGAGAACTCCACCGCCGGCTCTGCACACACACACAGGTTAATATCACACACACACACACACACACTCTGCGCCGCGGTGCGTTCAGGGACTCACGTCTGACGATGAGCTGTGCTGCCGTCTGGAAGTCTTTGGAGGTCATCTTCACCTCGCCGGCCTCCGACTGCGTCACGTCTCTGAGCGTCAGCGTGTGGACTTTACCTGCTACACGCGTCTTCACCTGCACACACACACACACACACACACACACACCGTTAAAAACATGAATCTGTCACAATTAAATAATATATTTAGTTTAGTTTATTTCTATTCTGTAAACAATCACCTGTATATTCTTTAAATTCAGATAAAACATATTGCTACGTTAGTCTTACTGTTTGGTAATTTGTTATTTATTGTTAACGTTTGATTTGATGCCTTCACTACTGCAGGTTGATGCTAACATGCTAATGCTAACAGTGCCTGGCTCTGCATATCAGGAGGTGACAGTCGGGGTGTGTGTGTGTGTGTGACAGTCGGGGTGTGTGTGTGTGTGTGTGTGTGTGTGTGTGTGTGTGTGTGTGTGTGTGTGTGTGTGTGTGTGTGTGTGTGTGTGTGTGTGTGTGTGTTACAGATAATGTTATCTGGTATTATTTTTAACTGCAGCAGACACTAGAGCCTCCACAGACTGAGAATCACTTCACAAGAAAATCTGAAAAAACCTTCAAAAATGTATTTAATTCATTCAAAAAACAATAAAATAAAACCTAAAATACATTTGTAAATGTTTTCGGGATGTGTATCTCTTTTTGATTTGTCGTTTTGATTAAATAAGCTTTAAAAATGTTAAATTGTATGACAATAATATAACGTTTAGTTTGTTGATGTAACATGAAAGTACAATTAATTTAAATCGAATTTTCTGACTTTAGTTTTTCAGAGTTTATGAATGGAAACAGGATTCTATGACTGAATCTGTTCAAATAAAACACACCCCCACCCCCACAGAGTGTACCCTCACCCTCTCGCTGGCCTCCATCTTCTTCCCGCCCACGAACCAGTCCACGGCGATGCCCTCGTACGACAGCTCGCTCTCGAAGGTGGCCGTCTCGCCCGCCGTCACCGTGACGTCCTTCAGGGGCCGCAGCAGCCCGATGGAGCGCGCTGAGGAGCAGGAGGACATGTTGAGGACCAGCATGCATCTGGGAGAGGCTCCTCTGAGAGAGGGTCCTCACTCCTGATAAGGGCTAAAATAAACTCAGCAGCTGATTGGCCGATCAGAACGCAACACAGACACCCTGCTGTGAGAGGTGAGGGCGAACCAGAGTCCCCTTGGAGGGTCAACTATGTTCAATACCTTTAAATACCTTTAATCAAGTAAGGCAACTTTTTGAAAATTGCAGAATTGTCCAAAAGCTGCTCTAAAAATATACAAAATGATGAACATGCTCCACTTAATAAAGTTTAAAATAAATCACCTCAGAGGGTTAACTATGTTCAAAAACCTTTTAATAAAGTACGGCTTAACATCGTTGCTCTGAGTTCGAAAGCTGCTATATATAAAAACATACTAAATGATTGACATGCTCCACTTCTCAGCAACCACAGTCATTTAGCATTTATATATTTCATCAGTGAATGATTGAACCAAGTTTCACATCTGATTAAAGACATAACAGCGCTCTGACCTTTGACCCTCAGCTGGGCGTTGGACTTGGCGTTGGCGGCGGAGAAGTCGACTCCTCCGGCCATATCCATCTTCACGTTGTACAGGATCAGCAGATGCTTCGTTCCTTCCTCCTTCATCTCCACATCCTGCAGGGACACAAGGAAGAACATTTCAAATACAGAGAGACAAAAGAGAAATGTTGAATGTAGTAGTTTGTATATGTATAGTAGTAGTTTGTATATGCATAGTAGTAGTATGTGTACTCACAGCGCTCTGGTGCAGAGCCTCTCCCTTCAGTTTCCAGTTCCCGTGGACGTCCTCTTCTGAAATTTCCGTCTCAAACTTGGCTGTTTCCGTCTCTGTGACCTCGACGCTGTACAGCGGCCGGGTCACCTTAATGTCTCGCTCTGCAGGGGGGGGGGATATTAGACATCAGTAAGAGAAACAACAGAGACAACAAAGAGACCAAACTGTCTCATTAATCTGACATATCTTTCCGGTAATACTACATCTAAATCTCCGGCGTCCCTCAAGGCTCTGTGTTTGGTGCTCTCCTCTTTACAGTAATTTAACAGATGCTTTTGTTTATATTTCTTTTATATATCTGCATTTAGAATTATTTATGTAAACCAAATCTAGACATCCAAACGTATAACTCTATGCTGATGATACTCCGCTCTTTAAGGCAGAAAGTGGAAGTGAATTAGAGGATGTGAAGAAACTTAACATTCCTTTCGCCTCAAAGATGATCAAGTTTCAGGAATTCTGGGAAATGTTGGGGTATCTCAAAGAGAGCCAGGAGTCTTGCTCTGATCTTAGATCTAACAGTCAATGCAACCTTGCTAAATGTTATTTAGTTGTTAACCCTTTATTTGACTTGGCTGATTTAGTTTTATCCCTTCTATATCACTTTTTATTACTACAGACAGAAAGAAGAAGCAGACAGTACCGTAAATGTAAATAAAGGCTATCCTTGTAAAATAAAGCAACGAAAGCATGAATAATGATGCTCGACCCTGATGGTACTCCGCTTCATACACCAGATGCTAACGCCAGATGCTATCACCAGATGATAACTCCAGATGCTAACCCAAGTATCTAGATTTCTGTCAAAGTCCTGACTCACCTTCAATATTGAGGTTAGCAGCTGTCTTGTCCGATCCGCAGTCACAGGAGTACTCTCCGATGTTGGCCTTCTCCGCCTTCCTCACCATCAGGATGCGCTTCTTCCCGTCTGTACTGAACGCGATGTTCTTGGAGGGCGTGATCTCCTTCCCGTCTTTGAACCACTTCACGTCAGCGATGGTTTTGCTCAGCTCGCACACCAGCTTCACCTCGTCCTTCTCCACCGCTGTGTAGTTCTGCAGCTTCGTGGTGAAGTACAGGTCGCCCTCTGCACAGATACACCTCAAAGTTAGAAACACAGTCTGTTTTCCTGAGCAACTGAAAGGACTGGGGTTCAGATACTGAGCCTCATAAACTTGTCTGGGTGATTTTAACTATCAGATAAGGCTTAAAGCTTCTCTGGATCTGTTCAATTAAAACATTTCCCAAATTGGGATCAATAAAGTACTATCTTATCTTATCTTAAAGCATCAGGAAAAATGTGTAGGGAACCAATTTTATTTCAATCTGGGGCTTCTCTGCACTAAAGCGACTTCTCTATTTGTAGATTTCTGACACTCTGTCTGTTAGTAATTGCTTTAAACGTTTATTTTGTACCACCCAAACTCTCTTTATTAAAAGCGTCTGAACCTTCCCTCTCTCTAACCCCAGAAACTCCCAACAGGTCAGACACTGACCGATGACGGTGAGCATGGCGGTCACGCTCTTGTCCATGGCCTCCACTTTGATCATGGAGGTGTCGTCGATGGTGACCTCCTTGAAGGCCAGCGTGTGGACCTTCCCGTGGTCCGACATGTGCACCACCTTGCTGGGGTGCAGCCGGACATCGTTCTTGTACCAGACCACCGGCACCTTGTCGTGAGAAAGCTCCACGCTGAACTCTGCCGTCTCACGCTCCTTCACCGTCACATCCTTGATCGGCTTAGCAAACTCCAGCCGGATACCTGCGGCAGGAAACGCAGGTCAGACATCGGGAATAAGATCTTGTTAGGGTTAGGGTTTGAAATCCCCAACAGATTATTGGTTGTGGTTTCTGTTTTCGATGCAGCCTGAACCACAACAGACCTGTGTCTGTAAGTTGATAAATGATATAAATACTAAATTACAGAACTGATATGTATTTCAGGAGCCAAATATAATTCATTTGGTTAAAATAAAACTAAATCAGAGTGAAAAAGACAGAAAACAAGATGTCAAACTTAAAACATTTAAATAAAACCCAAAAGGTAGGGTATGGTCTCACATACAAAGTCAAATAGGAAGCCATGAATTGGTGTTGAATAACTAATTTAAGTCAGAAAAGAAGAAACAATAAGGAAACAAACGATGTCCGTATGAAAAATGAGTAAACTCAGCCCATCTCCTCACAGTCTGAACCCAACGACCTGAATGTGTTTCTAGGTACATAAGGCTAACTAGGTACATTAGTCGAACTAGGGGGATTAGTCAAACTAGGGGGATTAGTCTAACTAGGTACATTAGTCTAACTAGGGGGATTAGTCTAACTAGGGGCATTAGTTTAACTAGGGGGATTAGTATAACTAGGGGGATTAGTCTAACTAGGGGGATTAGTCTAACTAGGTATATTAATCTCGTACCCTGGATGACCAGCTTGCCGCTCGTCCTCTTGTCCTCAGCCTCGAACATGTACTTGGCTTCGTCCTCGTAGGCGACGGAGCGGATCTGCAGGACGTACATGTTTCCTTCCTGGATCATCTCATACTTTTCGTCTTTCTGCAGCTCCTGCGTTCCCTTCAGCCAGCGGAAGCTCTTCGGCGCTCTTGACAGCTCCAACTCGAACCTCGCCTCGTCCTTCTCGTAAACGTTCACGTCGCTCAGCGGCGTCAGGAAGTTCATCGGCAGCTCTGATGAAGCAGAGGAAGGTGAGACACCGAACCACAGCACTACTTTCTGTCTCTAAGGACTAATTCCTGTCTCTAAGCACTACTTCCTGTCTCTGTGTATATTAGTACACAATAACTCAGATCCAACTCAAGCATTTCCCAAAAACCCAGATTCTCTTGGAATAAAGTGGTAAATTCATTTAAAGAAAACTATAAATCAAAGTGTACATTTATATAGCCCAATATCACAAATGTACATGTTTTCTTGTCCATTCAGGATTGACTAACCCCAGGGAACATTAAATGTTGTCTCGTTAACGGTTTATTGTCTCAGAGAATCGTCTCTCTCTGTCGTCTCTTAAAGCGTTGTTTGAACTCTAACCCTCTGCATTAACTAGATTCTGATTACTGCATATTTTTAGTAATTTAAACATTGCTTCCTGGTTAGACTTCTGGTAAAGGAGGTGTATTATCTGTGGCTCACCTTTGACCTTCAGGTTGGCGGCACACTTGGCGTTGGCGGCGGCGTACGCCACCTCGCCCGTCATGGCCACCTTGCAGTTGTAGAGGATGAGAGTGTGTTTTCCTCCCTCCTCGATGATGTCCACATCCTGTTACACACACACATTAGTTAGTCTCTGACATGGATGTACAATAAGAACTGGATACAGCGTCGTTCATTCCTTTGAGAGCTGCCCATTGGCTCATGAGGACAAAATGGCCTGAGATTCTCGAGTGCAAAACGTCACAGATTACCCATCATGCCTTGCTGTCAGAGCAGAAGTACCCATTGAGATTCACCTTAAGCCCGCCTCCTGTCATTCAGCCCCACCCCGATCTCCTGCTCTCCGCTCAGTAGAATGAATGGAGAGAGATAATTCAATCTGGATTCGGCTTCTAGTGCATTTTACAACTTCAAGGACTTAATGATTATAATAAGGGCTATCACAGAGTTCATACTGGGTAGTTTATTTAGTTAAAAAAAAAGTATCCGCTGAATTGCAGACGTGTCTTTCTCCATGTTAGTCAATGGAAGAAAGTCTTTCTGGGCCCATTGACGTCACGGACTGATACAGAAGTTGTAGTACCGCCGTTCGGCCACTAGGAATATTTCCCTCAGAGTCCGGAGCACTTCCTGGGGGCTTGCTCTCTGACAGCAGGGTATCAACATGTATTCAATGAGGACAGGAAGTCTTACGGAGGACGGGGTGAGGACGTCACCGTTCAGCTTCCACTGGCCACGGACGTCGTCCTCAGAGATTTCCACCTCGAAGCGCGCCGTCTCGCCATCGAACAGCTCCACGCCATAGATCGGACGCACCACCTTAACGTCACGAGCTGCAGGCGGGACAACATTTTTATTAATGGCGTTGTTGTTGTTGTTATTATTACATTGATTTACTGTGAAATTATAGATCAAGTTTGTCCCTTCGTGTGCTTCATTCAATATAAAAAACACTTATTTTACTTACAGTTTTATCAAAACGAGATAAAGAACGTGCCTTATTGTAGGCCAGTATTTACGTGTAGAGAAATAAATAATAATTTAAGTTTTAAAAAGTCCTGATCAAAAGTACTTATTTTTACTTTTTAAAGCTCTAAATGTTTGCTAGCATAATGCCACTGTTGGTTTTTATGAGGAATCGTGAACATGTACTGTAGTTAAAGCTGCTGTGAGATAGAGAAACATGGAGAGTGTGTGCTGGAAACGTCCCCAGTCGGACACAGGGTGGGGTTGAATCCTGACTTCTCAGGTGAAGGTTACCTTCGATGTTGATGCTGGCGGTCGTCTTGTCCGTCCCGCAGTCACATACGTATTTCCCTTGGTCGCTCTGCTCCACCTTCCTCAGCACCAGAGACCTGCGGGTGCCCTCGCTCTTCATCAGCAACGTCTTGGAGGCGATGACCTCCGTCTCCTCGTGGAACCACATGACCGGCACGTCTTTGCTCAGCTCGCAGTCCAGAGACACCTCGTCCTTCTCTGTCGCAGTGTAATCCTGCAGCTTCACCACGAACACCGCGTCACCCTCTGCAACACACACACACACACACACACACACACACACTCCGTCAGACTCACACACACACTGGTTCAGATTCCCCCTCGCACACTCAGTGAGATGGATGAAGATGTGACCCCCTGCCCCCCAGAGATGGATGAAGATGGGACACCCTGCCCCCCCAGAAATGGATGAAGATGTGACCCCCTGCCCCCCAGAGATGGATGAAGATGTGACCCCCCATGAGATGGAACAGAGAGATGAAGCATGGCTGTGACAGAGCAGGCACCACAGAAGAAGAGTTACCTATGACTGTCAGCTTGGCCATGGAGTAAATGCCTTTGGCCTCTGCCTTTATCTGGCAGGTATCATCAAGACACAGCGTCCTCATTTCGAGAATGTGTCTCTTCCCTTCCACGTGCGTGAGCACCGTTCTGCTCACGTGGAGCTTCACCTCGTTGCGGTACCAAACCACAGGCACGTTATCGTGCGACAGCTCGAGCTCAAAGCGGACCGTTTTACCTTCTTTCACTGTTTGGTCTTTCAGCTGCTGCACAAACTTCAGCCTCATGCCTGCAATACACGGTAAGTGCACACAGATGGGGGGTTGGTCTCTGCCGTGGACACTTTAAACATGGACACTCAACAGGAAGCCTTTGAGGACAACACTTACCTTCCACCGCCAGCAGGGCGCTGGACCGCTGGCCCAGAACCTCCACCGTGTACTGGGCCTCATCGTCAAACTCACAGCTGTTTATGATCAGCATGTGCTTCCTGCCATCATCCATTATCTCATATTTAGGGCTGGGGGTGACGATGTCCGCCCCCCTGAACCACAGCACCTTTGACACCTCCTTGGTGACGGTGCATTCAAATTTAGCCTGTTTCTTTTCAGGCACAGAAACGTCCTTCAGCGGCTCAACAAAGCCCATCTCGATTTCTGAGAGACGCGGAGAGTCGCCGTTATTCACAGACAGAAAAGCTTACCTGACCCTCTGCTCGGACCAACAGTGTTACAGAGAGAGAGTGTGTGTGTGTGTGTGTGTGTGTGTGTGTGTGTGTGTGTGTGTGTGTGTGTGTGTGTGTGTGTGTGTGTGTGTGTGTGTGTGTGTGTGTGTGTGTGTGTGTGTGTGTGTGTGTGTGTGTACCTTTGACGGTGAGCATGGCGGTGGTGACGGCGTTCAGCGCCTGGTAGGACACTTCGCCTGCCTGGTCCAGCTGAACCTGCTTCAGGGTCATGAACCGCTTTTTGCCTTCAGACTTGATGTCGCAGGTCTGAGAGACAGGACACACTTCAGTTAGCAACAAGGATAACATCCTACTTTTAACATTGTATCTAAGTCAATATATTTAGTTCACTTTAGTTCAAAATCTTTTTGTTATGTACTTTTTTCCTCGTAACATATGTGCAATTTTAAAATAAAACGTTATTTTCTTCAGAGTCTCATCTTATCAGATTATCACACTTCTGCTCTCTTTGACTGGTGTTAAACTGGTCCTACTTTAACGTCCCGTTAGTGTTTGTGTTATTGTCTTTATTTAAATCCCCTCTCTTTGGTCGGACTCACCGGAGACCTCATTAGCACCTGTCCCCTCAGCTTCCACTCGCCCACCACATCCTCCTCGGAGATCTCTGTGTCGAAGTTGGCTTCCTCCTTCTCCACCACCTCCTGGCTGGCGAGGGGCTTCAGGACCTCGGCCTCGCGCTCTGAAACACAAACAGCAGTTCAGACCATGTTCTTGACCCTCCTCTGAAGGGGGTCTCGGAGCGGATCTGACCTCCCAAGGTGAGCTTGGCGGAGTATCTGCGGTCCTCCACGGCGATGATGTAGTCGGAGACGTCGTCTGCCTGGCAGTTGTTGACCGTCAGCGTCACGTTCTTGCCGTCCTTGTCGATCTGGATCTTGTCCGACGGAGCCAGCTCAGTGTCTCCCTTGAACCACTTCCAGTTGGGGGTGTCCTTGAACAGCTCGCACTTAAACGTAGCTTTAGCTTTCGGCTTCACATGCTGATCCCTCAGAGGCTTCACCAGCCAGTCCTTGATCACCTCTGACAAACGCACAGGGACAACATGTTAAAATAAAATCTGAGGAACAACGTTAGCAACATGTTAGTGTTTCACTGTGATAGTCTAAACTGCTGTTAGCTTCCCCTCCTGAAGGTGGACTGGTGTTGAACTGGTCTAACTTTAGCTCCTGATGGTGGACTGGTGTTGAACTGGTCTAACTTTAGCTCCTGATGGTGGACTGGTTTAAAAGTGGTGTTAGCTTCCTCCCCTGATGCTACGCTGCTGTTAGCGGCACCTCCTCTGAAGTGCTTACCGATGATCTTGACGATGGTAGTGGTCTTCACGTCCTCCTGGCCCTCCACCTCACAGGTGTAGGCGCCGGCGTCCTCCTCCGTCGCGTTCTGGATGGTGATGGCGTGCTGCATGCCGATGATGTTGATGGCCACCTTGCCGGCCTTCTTCTTCAGCAGCGCCCCGTTCCTCTTCCAGACCACCTCGCGCTCCTTGTTCAGCTCGCAGGTCAGGTACATGGGCTGGCTCTTGATGCAGGAGGTCTCCGGCTCCAGATCCTTCACCCACTTCACCGGCAGCTCTGCACAAATACACCTGTTACCAGACTGCATGCACTGCCTCTCACACACTGTCCTGTCTGCTTATTACTACTAATAATAATAATATAATAACATTTCATTTATATAGCACACTTTAAATACAATGTTATCTCAAGATGATTTTACTGCAGTACAGCGCCCTCTAGTGGTGGACACACGTCCTGTTTGGACAGTTACTGTGAGTTTCAGTTCAGACACCTTTTTGTTGTAGAAGGCTGCAAACGTTGATATACCTCAGTCTTTGAGAAGGTACAATCTGTAGGTGTTTTGTTTAGACAGACATTTAACATCTTCTGCAACCTTTATTTAGCCTTATTACACGGCCTAGTTCAATACTCGATTGTGATTGGTCAATTTGGACCTGTCAGAGGTTGTTGATACTTGATAACAGACTGCTAACCAAAATAATGACCGCTGCTGAGGAGGATCAAGAAAAGAGGTTAAAAGACAGCAACTTCAGAGAAATCACCGGAACAACACAGACAGGAAGTAAACACTAACGGGAACCGCGGAAGAAGACGGACGATCGACGATTTTTAAGTCAATAAAATCATTTTCAATCAGTATATGGAGTCAAGTTGTTGGTTTATGTAGTTGTGGCCATGTAACAAGCGGAATAATGTGCAGCGAGGCGGGGGTCGTGAAGACCTTAACGACCCCCGCCTCGCTGCACATGATGTTTATTTACTTATGTTTGTGTTGTTGGATGGATGCTGAAGATTCATATTCCATACTTCTACATAAGTCTACAGATCTCTCAAACTGAAAACTCAAATGTTTTTCTTGCTCTTACAAAAGTCTGGCTTGTTTGAATCGATTTATTGCACTGGAAATGTATGTAATAATGTTTATTGCTCTAAGTTATTGTCTTTTCTTTTAGTATTACAGTTTAAGTAGTACTATTTAAGTTTCAATTTCACAACGCTTCATTAAAAGACCTAAAGTCAGCTCCCTGAGCCGTGTGTAAGGTGTGCTGAGGCCTAACGGCATCATAAAGTAGGTCCAGCCCCTGAGGGCCCTGGGCTGCAGACAGAAACAACCTCAGGTCATCCTCTATTGAATCTGTGTTTACCTTCCACCACCAGCTTGGCGGTGCATGTGATTTCCTTGCCGGCGTTCTTGGCGACGCAGGTGTACTCGCCGGTGTCCGACAGCTGCACGTCGATGATGTTCAGCTTGCGGTCTTTGCCGTCAGCGGTGAACTTGTGCTTGGGGCCCTCGCGCAGGTTGGTGCCGTCCTTCATCCAGGTGGTGATGGCGGTGGAGGGCGACACCTCGCACTCGAACACGGCGGAGGATCCGATGGACTCGGCCTCCAGAAGCAAGATGTCCTTGATCTTCTTCACAAACTTCAGAGGCACCGCCTTCAGCTTGAACCCTCCGAAGGGATCCTCCGGGGGGGTCGGGCCTCTTCCTCCGGACTTCAGGCCGCGGCCTCTGCCGGCATCACCGGGAGACGGGGTCTGTCTCGCTGCAAGGCCACAGACACAATGTTACTTACTCACATCAGACTTCACACAGAGGGAAGGCTTGAAGACACTGAGCTTACCGTAGGTAAGACGTCAATCAGTGGAAGTAACATAAAACAGGGTTAGGGTAAAGATTCTGAAGCATATAGTCACTCTGTTGAGCTGCTACAGGGTTACCAAAGAACACAACAACATAAACAACAAACCACGCAAACAACACAAAGAGGAAGATGGAGAAGCTAAATACCTACCTATGCTATTGCAGAAAATAAGGACAATATAAACCTTGATTTCAGCCAAATGCAGTGTTTCTATTGGCTGATATCAGTGTGGTAGAGCTGCCTCTAATGATGGCTTATATTAGGCTATAAAACATCAGAAAATATCAGAAAAAGGCCATCAAAAATTCTCAGTCCGATGTGATTTGTTTGAATGTCTAAAGAGTTGAGAAAGTGAAAACAGACTTTCATTTCAAACTTTAAAATGACTCTCAAATCATTAAATGATCGAATAGTTGAAGGTTGTTTTTTCTGTCTATCTTATGTTGCAGCCCGATAGTGTATGAATGTAAAGATACCTGGTGATTGGGTATGTGATACTACTTCCTGATACCTCTACAGTAACAGACGTACAAGAGGTTTCCCTCAAAGACAACAAGATTTTAAATCTGTCCGCACTCGACAGATTTACGTAGAAAAAGTTTGAGGCCAGAAGATGAAAAGCTGAACACACAAACACATTAGGTTTTGTAAGAAAGGACAGACAAGAAAACACCCAAAGAGCAAACGTTAGTAAATGAACTACTTTATATCAGTTCATACCCCCGAGTCCTCGGCCTCGGCCCTTTGGCGCCTCCTCTGATGGTTTTCCATCTGAACAAGAGACAACAAGAGGAGTTTAGAGTTCCTCTGATGATCCAGCAGAAACCAAGACTAAGATGTACACATTCACAGACATGAGAACATTGAAAGGACATTTCACAGTGAAGAGGACAGAGATGGACAGAATAATAGGACCACAAGATGAAAGAATATGCAAAAAACTATAAGCTGAAGTTAAGGTAATATTGGAAAGACAACATGAGGACTGCACAGAGATGAAGAGGATGAAGAAGATGGAGTAGATATTCACGGATGAAAGAATAATGGGAGCGGGGACGGGAATTGAGAAGTGCTTCTTCCAAGTTCCCATCCCTGAATGGAACAAGATGAAGACTAACATGAATGGACGATGCAGGAAAACGACAAACTAGAAAGGTACTAGTTGTTGTGAAAGACATGATGAAGACACATTGAGGACAGACATTATATGATGGACATCACTGAGATGAATAGGATGAAGATGAGTATTAATGGAGTAGGGATGGGAATCGAAAACTGGTTTTAGTGGTCTGATCTTTTGGTATCTCAATTTCAATTCTTCATCTTCCAAAAGTTTTGCTCCAGTTTAAACTAACAATTCCCCTTGGGACAAGATGAAGACAAACATGGGTGGAGGACATGATGAACACATTGAGGACAGACATGAAATGACAGTGTCTCGGTGGAAGAATGGCGGATGAATACATAAGCTGCAGATGGCGTGATGAGGATTAGATGAGTTTTGAGATGGATGAAGGGGCTCCAGAGTCCTCAGACGTCGGCCTTGGTCTCACCTCGTCTGGCGCCTGGCATGCCGGGAGTCTGCCGCTCCCCGTCCTCCGCTTCACCCTCCCAGTCCTCGGGGGGGACCAGCTCCCAGCCCCAGGCCTCGTCCTCCTCCTCGCCCTCCTTCACCTCCGCCTCCTCTTCAAACACCTCCTCCTCCGGCTGGGTGGGAACCTTCTGCATCTGCACGGCCCCGGGGGAAACCTCCTTCCCCAGCGGGATCCTTCCTCTACCGGGAGCTTCCTCCGGTGGGGTTTTCCTCGGGGTCTTTTTGAGCGTGACAGCTTCAACTGAGTCTTTAGGTGAAATCGTTTTTTCCACCTTAGGTGATGGAGTCTTCCTCAGCTCGGCCTTCCTCAGCTGCTCGATAGGTTTGACAGGTTTTTCTTCAACTACCTTATCTTTAGCGGCTCTTGGCGAGTGAGTCTTTTTGAGCTCGACACCTTTCTTTAAGATGTCTGCTGGTTTCTGTGGGGTCTCTTTCTTCCCCGGTGGACTGGCCTTCCTGTCTGGAGCAGCTTCCTCTTTCTCATCATCCTTTTGGGGTTTTGCAGTCTTTTCTACTTTCTTAAGATCTTTAGGAGTTTCCTCACTTAGAGCTCGACGGGGTACCTTTGTATCCACAGGTTTCTTTTTCTCTTCCTCGGACGCTTTCTCTGGCTTCTCTTTAGGCTTGGTGAAAGGCTTCAACATGACCTGGTCTTCGCCGACGTCAGCAGTGACTTCTGGACTCGAGTTGGCGGGTTGGTCTTCGCTGTGTTTTATCGCAGCTGCAGGTTGATCTATCTGAGGCGTCTCGACTCTCTTGTATGGAGTGCGTTCACTTTCTGTCTTTGCCTCGGCTTCTTCCATAGATTTGGCCGGTTCAGGGGCTTCAGGTTTCTTAGGTTTTTCAAAAGGTTTCAAAGTCACTGCTTCTTGCTCCTCACCTTTCTTTGGCAACTTCTTTATTTTCTTTTTAGAAAAATCTGGTTCTGGTTCTTCCTCTTTTGGTGCTTTAGGGGTTCGGGTCCATCTGGACTTCTCATCTTCTGTCTCAAGTTCCTCCGGCTCCTCCATGTGACCCGAGTCAGGCGAGTCTTCAGCGGCGGTAAAGACTCGTTCAGGCCTTACCACCGTTAGCAGCTCTCGATCCTCTCGATGGCGAAGTTTCTGAACGCTCAGCTCTGAATCATAATGCCTCGTCACTTCACATTTTTGAGTTATGACCTCCTTCTCTGGCTCTTTGGGCTTAGTTGGCACCTTTTTCAACTGGATCCTGTGCGGTTCTTCTTCTGGTTTCCCTGATTTCTCAAAGGGTTTCAGTTTGGTTGAGTCTTTCTTTTCATCAGCCTTTGGCAGTTTGGTTATTTTCTTCTTCTCAACCTTTGGCACCTCAGGTTCTTCCTCTTTTTGAGATTTTGGAGTTCTTGTCCATCCTACTTTTTCTGTTGTTTTCACTGTAACTGTTACCCTCTCAGCTTCCTCAAACTGGCCTAACTTTGCCGTCTGCTCCTCCGCGGTGAAGACTCGCTCGGTCCTCCCGAGGGTGATTATGTCTCGATCATCTCTCTCGTGAAGTCCGTGAACCGCCAGTTCTACGTCCTGGAGCTTTGTCACTTCTGCTTTATGGGTTTCGACCTGTTTCTCAGGCTCTGGAGGTTTCACCGGGACCTTCTTCAACTTAACGACCTCCAGCTCCGGCTCCTTCTCTTTGGGTCCTCTGAGAACCCTACTCTTCAACTTAGGAGATTCAGGGGTTTTTGTCTCCTGAACAGGGATCTTACCCTTTTGCTTAAGAGCCGTCACTGTGGTTGAGGTAGTAAATACATTCACAAACAGGGAACTCAACATTTCATCTGCCACTTTACAACACAGGACTCACACCGCTTCAACATGTAAAACAAGAGATGTGTTGGTTGTTTATAAGCGAATAACTAATATGGCAGGATGTATACCTGTAGTTGGTCCAGGTGCTGAAACTGGTCCCTTGTCTGCAATAATTTAAAAGAGATAGAAACAAGTCAACACAATACAAACAAAAGAAGGTTAATGTATTTTTTCAGACGGACTGGAGTTAAGAAAGTGTGGCATGCTTTTGTATTTTCGTACAAAAGTTAAGAGATTTTTTTTAAGGTTATTTGGACTCTTTTAACATGTATAGTTAATTTGAAACACTTGAATTAAACAAACAGTAGGTTGCCAGTTAAAGACAGAACTAGACATTAAAGGCATTTCTACAATCAAGGCTCAGATTTCCTTTTATGAAGACTGAAGCGTCACATAAGAAACGCTTTAAAGCCGGAGACAAACAGAAGAGATCATCATAAACATATTGAACATAGATGAGAGCTACAGAAGAGGTGTTACCTTCAGGCGGAGAGGCTGCTGGAGAGGCCTGTACGCCCGGTGGGGAGGGTGTCTTGGCCACCGGTGAAACTTGAGCTACAAGAACGCCAACTTGATTAAATCACTGGCAAAGATCTGGTCAACAAGATACTGACAAAACTGAACTAACCAGACAGTTAAAGAATTTAGACCAAGAGAGGACAAACAACATAAAGGACACACAGAAGAACTACCTGCTGGAGGAACCACTTTTTCTGCTGGAGTCTTTGGTGCAGACACTTTCTTTTCCTCTGGAGGAGACACTTAGGAGCACAAGATACCAAAGGTCACGAACAAAAGACATTCAACAGATTCAAGATGTTAAGAGTGCACAGACAGAGAGGAATCAGAAAACATGAAAGGTCTCCAGATACAACACAAACAGAAGACAGATGTGCAAAGGTGAAAGAACTACCTGCAGGAGGAGTGACTTTAGCTGCAGGAGGAGTGACTTTAGCTGGAGGAGGAGTGACTTTAGCTGCAGGAGGAGTGACTTTAGCTGCAGGAGGAGTGACTTTAGCTGCAGGAGCTGCAGGCTTTGGTGCAGATGGTTTCTTTTCCTCTGGGGGAGACGCTTTAAAATACAAGATGCCAAGATCATGACCAACACAAGAACAGGGTCAATGAAGGACAGACAGATGCAAGATGAGACTGAGGGTGATCAGTCAGCTCAGAAGACAACAGACGGACATTTAGCTCACAACAACATACTGAAGAAGGAGTATACCTGCAGGAGGAGCAACCTTCTGTGCAGGAGCTGCAGGTGCAGATGGTTTCTTCTCCTCTGGGGGAGACACTTTGGGAATACAAGACGCCAAGGTCAAGACCAAGACAACAGTTGGTGGAAACATAGCAGTGACAGGAACAGTTCACAACATGAAATACAGAAGAAGAACACAAACAGAAGAGGAAACAGACTCTTGATGAGCCAGCAGTATTTAGTGACTACCTGCAGGAGGAGCAGCGGCTGCAGGAGATAAAGGTGCAGCTGGCTTCCTCTCCTCTGGGGGAGACACTTTGGGAATACAACATACCAAGATTACGACCAAGAAAAAACATGGTCAATCAAGAAGACAAAAACACAAACAGGGAGAAGAGGGAAATAGACCAAGAGAGGTTCTTTAGTGGCGAACCAAAGTACTGACACACAAACACGTTACAGAGACAATGGACGAGGAAGGCTGACTGTGATCATTAGTGTAATGTGTACCATCAGTGATATCATGTGTGTGTACATGTGAGGTTCTTTAAGAGGGTTGATCTTATGGCGATCACGAGCCTTCGCGGCTCTAATAAGAATACCTGTCTGAAGAGTTTGTTGTTCGCTCTTCTTTGCTTTTTCATCATCTTCTCTTGGAGAGCTTCTTACTTCTTTGGCAGAATCCACCTCGGGGGTGAATACTGTTTGTGCCAGGGAAGCAGGTGTTTTAAAGACAAGAGCTTCTTCTTCAGGGAGAGGAGGTTCATTCTTCTGTGGTGGGACTTCAGGTGTTTTACTTGGAGCCACCTCAGGCTTAGTGACAGTCTTCTTCTGTGGTGGGACTTCAGGTGTTTTACTTGGAGCCACCTCAGGTTTAGTGACAGTCTTCTTCTGTGGTGGGACTTCAGGTGTTTTACTTGGAGCCACCTCAGGTTTAGTGACAGTCTTCTTCTGTGGTGGGACTTCAGGTGTTTTACTTGGAGCCACCTCAGGTTTAGTGACAGTCTTCTTCTGTGGTGGGACTTCAGGTGTTTTACTTGGAGCCACCTCAGGTTTAGTGATAGGTTTCTTGTATGGAGTCACTTCTTCAGGAGAAGCTTTGGGAAGTTTAGGAGACGTCTTCTCTGTAGGCAAAACAGCTTCTTTTGGTGGTGAAATGTCTTTCTCAAGGTAGACTGCTCTCTCAGGCGGAGGGGTACAAACTGGTGCAGGGCAGGACACTTCTGTGCTTGCTGGTACGGATCCTGTTGCTGGAATCAGTTCTTCTTCAAAGGACTTGTCTGCAGACACAGGGGTCGGTTTTTCCAGAGGTACAACATCTTCTAGACGGACACAGATTCCTTCCATCTTCCTAGTAATCATGACTTCCTTTTTGGGAGGAGAAGGAGTGGTTTGAGTTGGGACTTGGGGTGTGTCATGTTCAAGAGGAATGGTTCTTTCTTTCATAGCTTGTTTCGAAACAGCGACTTCTTTAGGCTTCTTTGGGGCAGTGACTTCTTTAGATGTAGAAGAGGTTTTGGGTTTAACAAGATCCTCCATTTGCAGTTCTTCAATGTCTTCATAGTGTACCGGTGCAACTACAACGTCAGCTTCCACAAGTTTTTTCTGTTGAGTTTTCTTGTAGGACGGTACCTCTTTTTGGGATGTGGATCCAGTGTCAGGAGGAATAACTTCTTGCTTCGTGGGACGAGTTACTTCAGGTGGAGTCGTGTGTTCTCTTCCTGATGGAAAATGTTCAGTCTTCTTTAGGGTAGGAGGGACAGACCTAGAAGACAATTCTTCTGTCTGGTTCAACACTTGGTCTTCTGGTTTTTCAACCTCATATTCTGGCTCTTCGACTTGCTGACCCCGGTTGTATCCTGAAGAAACCTCGTCCCTTTTCTGCTGTCTTATTTCTCGTTTTTCTACCACCGACTCCCTCACCTCCACTGCCATCTCATACGTCCTGACTTCCTCTGTCAGAGAGATTCTCTCTACTTGAAGCGTCCTCACAGACGACTCCCTGCTGTCTTCAAACGTGTCTGTTGTTTCCTTAAGATCCCTCATCTGAGGAACTGTTATTTTTAAGATTTCACCCAAGATTGAAGATTTGCACCATGGAGCGGTGGCCAAGAGAAAGACACAAGACAAGAACCATCAAGACACAGAAACACAGACTTCAGTGTGACATGTATTCTGATGCGAGCCTAAGTGTAGTGAATTACTGCCTCTCTACATCGACTAGTACTTCTCTAGAAGGAATAAACTAATCTAGATCCTGGAACAAATTAATACAATAAGTCAAACTACAAAACAGTGATGCACATTAGCTGGAGCTGTTGTTTCCTGTGGTATCTCCCTTTGTTTACTGTGTTGATAACTGATATGATGCAACATGTCGCCACACATGACAGAACACACATCAACTTTTAGCTAATGGATAAGAATAGTAATACATAAGAATACCGAGTTAGAAGACCAAGATGAAGAAGGATTAGTTAATAAGAGGTTCAGATTTGTCTACCTGGTTGCAGAGGCTTTTGAGCCGGAAGAGTTTGCTTTGGTGTTTCCAAGACTTGTGGTGGTGCTTCAGAAACCATTTTGTGTGCCACTGGAGACCTTTGTGGTTCTCCTGGGACCTCCTTTGGTGCTTCAGGAACCTTCTTTGGTTCTTCTGGAACCTTCTTTGGTGCTTCAGGAACCTTCTTTGGTAGTTCAGGAACTTTCTTTGGTTCTTCTGGGACCTTCTTTGGTGCTTCAGGAACCTTCTTTGGTTCTTCTGGGACCTTCTTTGGTGCTTCAGGAACTTCTTTGGTTCTTCTGGGACCTTCTTTGGCAGTTCAGGAACTTTCTTTGGTTCTTCTGGGACCTTCTTTGGTGCTTCAGGAACCTTCTTTGGTACTTCAGGGACCTTCTTTGGTGCTTCAGGAACCTTCTTTGGTACTTCAGGAACCTTCTTTGGTTCTTCTGGGACCTTCTTTGGCACTTCAGGAACCTTCTTTGGTTCTTCTGGGACCTTCTTTGGTGCTTCAGGAACCTTCTTTGGCACTTCAGGAACCTTCTTTGGTGCTTCAGGAACCCTCTGTGTTTCTTCCAGAACCTTCCCTGGTGTTTCTGGCTCCATTTGTCTTGGAGCTTCAGATGTCTTCAGCTCTGAGAGAACTTTGAATAACATTAATTCAAAAGATGATTAACTTATTAAGAGCATTTTAAAAGTGCCAGTTTCACTCTAACGAGTGCTCAAAGATATTCAAAGAAGACATTTCGGAAAGATTACATTCCATTTAAAGCAGAACAGGAGAAACAGACTTGAACATGAGTAACAGCACAAACAGGAAACAGAAGAAGGACCAGTGAGGAACGTCTCGGTACCTTTGGTTGGAGCAGCTTCAGCCTTGGGGGCAGGAACCTTTGGTGCAGGCGGCTGAACTACAGGCTCCTCTGGTCTGGGTTCTTCCCACACTTAAGAGAACATGATGCAAAGTTTAGCAACAGGTGAAGACCAAGGCTAAGTGAAAGAGAACACTCTGAACGAGTGAAGGACTCTAAAGATCTCAGTACCTTTAGCAGGACCAGGTTCTGCTGATGGGGGGGTAACCTTTGCTGCAGGAGGCTGAACTACAGCTGCTTCAGGCTTTGGACGTTCTGCGGCTTTAAAGAACATTATATATATATATATATATATATGTTCAATAACATACTGGTAACAAACAACATTACAGTCCACTCTAACGAGTGCTGCTACTGAAACACATCACAACACAAGTCAAAGAGTTCACAGACGGTCCCAGACCTTCGAGGGCCGGGTGGTTTGTCTTCAGAACATTACAAGGTTTTCCTCCACATTTATCAGAAGATTATTGTAGAAACTAGCTGGAGCTTGTCGGCAAAACATTACAGCAAAGGTCTATCCAAACCTCCTGAAACCCAAACCCCAGATACATGAAATACATTTAAAGAGGTTAACAGTGATCAACACTCAAGAACCATGTTGAAGAGTTATACCTGCAGATCACAGCAACATGGAACCAACAACTAGAAAGACTGGGTTAGAGAACGTCTTTCTAGAACAGAAGAATAAGTGTACTTTACCTCTGGCCTTAGGGGCTTCTTGAGGTGTCTTTGCTTCAGCCTTGGCTTCTTTAGTTTCAGTTTTCAGCTCTTTGGGTTCCTCCGCCCTCGGTCTGGGCTCGGGGGGAGTGGTCTTTGGCTTGGCTGAAGGTTTTGGTTGGTAAGGTTCCGGAGAGACCTTTCTGAGAACCTTTTGTTCAGGTTCTTCAAGGTTAACAGAGAAATAGGTAAAGAAGAGGTGAAGAAAGAAGGGATAAGAGACAGAACATCAAGATACATTAATAACAGACGGACGAACGGACAGACAGAACGACCGACAGACGACGATGCTCTGAACGCATCTGAGGAAGATCAGCAGAGACTCTTGAACAACATGAAGCTTCACTGACAGCAACAAAAAATCATTGTAAATAAATAAATATATATAGTATGCTGAAATACTGCTTGTAAAATTTGAATGTGTGAGAAAAAAAAGTTCATTAATTTGTTAACATATTCCGGTTTGGTGTAAAGACAGTGAGCCGACAAAGACTCTAAGAGGACAGACAAATAAGATAAGATCACATAAGATAAGATCAAATAAGATAAGATCAAATAAGATAAGATCAAATAAGATAAGATCAAATAAAATAAGATCAAATAAGATAAGATCAAATCATATAGAATAAGATGGGTCTGGGTGTTACCTGCTGATCGGTCGGCGTCTCCTCGCCTTGGCTCGTCCTTCGTCTTCCTCGCTTCAGATTCTTTAAAATATTATCACCATGTCAGATTTCTGATCAACGCTAACATCAAGAACTCATCAAGAGATTTAAATAAAGACAAAACAACAATAGGAAGTACATGAAAGACAAACAGGAAGTGGGTATAATTTAAGAGAATAAAAGCGGTATGTGCAGATACCTCTGAAGGCAGCTGAAGATCTCTGATCCTCCGAACTGAAAACCTCAGACACTGAGGAAAAGAGAGGCAACGTTAACACACTGTGGGGGGAGAGGGGGGGGGAGGAAGAAGAGGGGGAAGAGGAAGAAGGATAAGAATACTCTATGGAAAGAGAGAAGCTTCTAGAAGCAGCAGGAAGCGTTTCAGGACAAACACCACGAGCGGCCTGATGTCTACAGCCTCTAGCATTGAGACAGGTGAAGAGGACATTACCTGAAGACACGTCTCCTGTCTCTGTCCACTCGCCTGTCTCTTCTACTGCCTGTCTCACTCCTGCAGGGAGGAAAACCAACTTAGAGACAGACAGGTGTGAAAAGATGTGAGACAGACAGGTAGAGACAGACAGGTGTGTAAAGAAGTCAGATAGACAGGTGTGTAAAGATGTGAGACAGACAGGTAGAGACAGACAGGTGTGTAAAGAAGTCAGATAGACAGGTGTGTAAAGATGTGAGACAGACAGGTAGAGACAGACAGGTGTGTAAAGAAGTCAGATAGACAGGTAGAGTATGTGGACGAAGAAAATTGGCAACAGACAGGCAGAAGACAAGTGGACAGACAGGCAGAGGACAAGAGGACAGACAGGTAATTAAAGCTGTCAGACAGACAGGTAGAGACATACAGGTAATTAAAGCTGTCAGACAGTTTTAGTGTGATAAAGTGTTGATACCTGTGGAGGAGAAGCGAACAGAGGCGGTCTCTTCAACTCTTTCCACAGCTACACGTTAAAGATAATCACAATCAATAATAATAATAATAATAAAGATAATAATATTTCAAGAAAATTAAAGATGTGCAGTTTGTGCAGAAGAAGACTAACAGTCTTATTTTCCAGATTTAATCACAAACACAATACATTCAGACTTTCATCTAAATCAATTCCTAATTTATTTGAAATTACATTTGTAATTGAAATTGATGAGATTAGGTCCAGAACATATATGTAATTGTTTAATGAATGTTAAGACTGAGGTCTGATATCTGGATTCAGTCTCAACTAATCCTGGATTAAAAACAAATTAGAAATGGATTTTAATCTTATTAAAACTTGTTTAAAATGAAAGATCTTAATGTTGCAATTTACAGATTCAGGTTGCAGATAATCTTCTTCTGCGACAGGAAGGAATTATTACATTTCTGCAAACCGGTTCACACGATCATTAACAAATATTAAAGATTGTTAAAGGGCTCACTGATTATTAAAAGGTTCACCTGATTGTTAACGAGTTCACTGATTGTTAAAAAGCTCACCTTATTGTTAACGAGTTCACTGATTGTTAAAGGGTTCACTGATTGTTAAAGGGTTCACCTGATGGTTAACGAGTTCACTGATTGTTAACGAGTTCACTGATTGTTAACGAGTTCACTGATTGTTAACGGGTTCACTGATTGTTAACGAGTTCACCTGATTGTTAATGGGTTCACTGATTGTTAACGAGTTCACCTGATTGTTAAAGGGTTCACTGATTGTTAACGAGTTCACCTGATTGTTAACGGGTTCACTGATTGTTAACGAGTTCACCTGATTGTTAACGGGTTCACTGATTGTTAAAGAGTTCACTGATTGTTAAAGGGTTTACCTGATTGTTAAAGGGTTCACTGATTGTTAACGAGTTCACCTGATTGTTAACGGGTTCACCTGATTGTTAAAGGGTTCACTGATTGTTAAAGGGTTCACCTGATTGTTAACGGGTTCACTGATTGTTAACGGGTTCACTGATTGTTAACGGTTGTTAACGGGTTCACTGATTGTTAACGGGTTCACTGATTGTTAACGGTTGTTAACGGGTTCGCTGATTGTTAACGGGTTCACTTATTGTTAACGATTGTTAACGGTTGTTAAAGGGTTCACTGATTGTTAAAGGGTTCACTGATTGTTAACGATTGTTAATGGGTTCACTGATTGTTAACGGGTTCACTGATTGTTAACGGTTGTTAAAGGGTTCACTGATTGTTAACGGTTGTTAACGGGTTCACTGATTGTTAACGATTGTTAACGGGTTCACTGATTGTTAACGGTTGTTAACGGGTTCACTGATTGTTAACGGTTGTTAAAGGGTTCACACGATGGAAGGAGTTTGAGTTGATGATGGATGACAGTAATGATACAGAAGAATATTTTTTAATTTAGGATGGAGTCTTCATAAACCGTTAGTACTCATGGTTAAATATTATAAATGAATATCTGCTGTACCTGTCACTGTCCGTTCTTCGTAGAGATAAGACTGAGAGGAGTCTTTGGCAGAAGAAGATATTAATGAGAATATGTTTTATATTGGTATATAAAGAGTTATAAGAGAGACAGGAAGTCTCACCTCTAACGAACAGAGAGGCAGCGCCGGGGAACTGAAGGGAGTCGGGGACGTCTGTGGGTCGAACAGCACCATTAATATTAACTCACAACATCTCCTTTAATTAGATCTTCAGACTGTTTGAAGCCAGAGTAAAAGTCCACAGTTCCTCCCTTTCAAAATACAAGTCAGAGTTATTTGAACCAATCAGCCTCGCTTTAATAATCAATATATTTTATATATTTTGCACTTTCACGTTAAATATTATTTAGACCAGATTGCAATACCCAATTATTTGTGGATACTCTTTATATCATAAGCGTATTCTGTTAAATAATACAAATAAATACAAACCCACCAAATGATTGAACATTTGAAGGCCTAAAGCGAGGACCGTTCATCTCTTTCAGTTTGTAATTAAAGGGGAGGAAGTTTGACTGCCTGTATTTATTGAAAGTACTCACCCTGAGGGGCGCTGCCTAAGCCCACCTCTGCGGAGACAACATGAAGTTAGAGCGTTTCATTACTTAACTTCAATTCAAACTAAAGATAGCGTTTGTGTTTACGGACCTCGGCCCGACAGGAAGAGCTCGGCCGAGCTGCGAGCTTCACCCAGAGCGTCGACCCGAGCGATGACCGAGTACACGCCTACAGAGATAACACCATCATTTATTACCACATCTCTTTCTGCTATAACATCTCACTTCACTATAATATCTATGTCTCCTTTAACCGTGCCTTATAATTGCACTTTTAGCTGAAACCATTATTTTATCGCTTTTTTTTGTTTGTGTATTTTTTATATTTTTGTATTATAATGTGTTCAATGTGAGGCACTTTGAATTGCCTCTGTGTCTTAAAATGTGCTATAGAAATAAACTGAACTAACCTTGAACTGTGACCTCCACACAGTGACCACCAGGTCTTATTATGTGTTGGCGCTTCCTGTGTCCAGTGTAATTGCTATAACCCCAGCTTTATCAACCTTTACTTGCCAAATAAACTGTTTTTAAGGTTTTATACAAACTGTTATTTAGTTATTAACAGTTTTTCCAGGCATGAAACTCACTATTTAGATTAGCAATATGTGGTTACTCATTAACAGAGGACTTGCAGTGTGGCTGTGGATGATCTCTAATTAAACTCCCTGTCTACAAAAGCTGATAGCGCTAAACCTGAGGAATTGAGACATAAGGGTTTGAACAGGAAGTGGAGAAAGGGCTTCATAAGGTGATTAAATAGAAACATTTGACCCTCTCAATATGAAATGAATCTATATTAATGGTCAGATTTCTGCTTTTTAGGACAGACCTTCGTCCTCCGCTGTCACGTTGACGATGGTCATGAAGTGGCGGCGGCCATCCGTCCTGAACTCGTACTTCGGGCTCTCGCTGAGCTCCCATGATCCTTTGTACCACGCCACGGAGGCGTGGTCGAAACCCAGCTCGCACTCGAAGGTGGCGCGATGGCGCTCGCTCACTTCGATGCTCCGGATGCTTTTGGTGAACTGGATCTGTTCCCCTGAACCACCCGGGTCATAAGAGAGGGGTTTGATCATGAGGCCCAGAGGGGGGTCGAGAGAAACACTTAACACAAGCAAACACAGGGTAACGAGGAACAAAGGCAAGAGGAAGAAGCTAAAGGAAGCAGATACAGACGGATTAAGAGGAACCAAGTCAAGCCAAATACACACTTGATATAAAGGCAGAGTGAAGAGGAACACATCCAGAATAAAGAGGACGAACAACTCAGGAACACATCCAGAATAAAGAGGACGAACAACTCAGGAACACATCCAGAATAAAGAGGACGAACAACTCAGGAACACATCCAGAATAAAGAGGACGAACAACTCAGGAACACATCCAGAATAAACAGGCACACACAGGTAAAGAGGTCAGTGGGGGTCAGCTCAGTACGGCTCACCAGGTGGTGAAAAACCGCTACAGACAGGAAGTGGCCGGTCTCTCTGTGGACAGGAAGTGAGTGCGTACCTGTGACGGTGAGCTTGGCGTTGGATATGTGCGGTCCACACACCACCCGGTAGTTGCCCTGGTCCTGGCCCGAGCACTTCTTGATGTTCAGGAAGTGGCGTTCACCCTCGCTGCCGATGTCGTACCTGTCTCCGGCCTCCAGCTTCTGCGTGCCTTTGTACCAGGTGAGGCAGATCTCGGGGTAGTTGATGCGCAGGCGGCACTGGAAGGTGGCGCTCTGGCTCTCCGGAGCCGTCTGGTCGCTGATGTCCTCGAGGACCGACACCGGCTGAGAGGACAAATAACCCAATGAATCCACTTCCTTCTGAATCATTTAGACGTTACTTTAGGAATTCATTCTCACAACAGGCTGACTTCTTTCAAAGGTCTCCTATTATACTATGTTAGGCATATATTATAGGTCTGATACAAGGACATGTCTCTGAAGTGTCCTGCTCCAAACCCCAAACAGATCCTTGTAGCCCCCCCCCTCTCTTCCAGCTGTTACTAAGGACATGTCTCTGAAGTGTCCTGCTCCAAACCCCAAACAGATCCTTGTAGCCCCCCCCCTCTCTTCCAGCTGTTACTAAGGACATGTCTCTGAAGTGTCCTGCTCCAAACCCCAAACAGATCCTTGTAGCCCCCCCCCTCTCTTCCAGCTGTTACTAAGGACATGTCTCTGAAGTGTCCTGCTCCAAACCCCAAACAGATCCTTGTAGCCCCCCCCTCTCTTCCAGCTGTTACTAAGGACATGTCTCTGAAGTGTCCTGCTCCAAACCCCAAACAGATCCTTGTAGCCCCCCCC